TCTGGGTCTAAACCAAGAAGCGGAATTGCTGGATCATATCGTAATTCTTTTTTTTTAATTTTGGAAGGAAATGCCATACGGTTTTCCATAGCGGTTGCACCAGGTTACGTTGTACAAGGATTCCGTTTTCTCCACATCCTCCTAGCCCTTATTATTTTCTGTTTTCTTGGTAGTAGCCATCCTACTGAGGTGACGTTTTCTGGTAGACAAGATAGTGTTTTCATGGACTCACTGTTTACATTTTCTCTCTTTCATCATATCATTCCAAAAACAATCTTTTCTTCCAAAATGATTTTGAAAAATCTCAGATTTTAACTTTGGATGCTCCTTTTGCACCTTCCAAAAAATGTATTAGGAAGCAGCGTAGCTTTTATATATTTATTGGAGTTTCATATTGTTTTTTGTTTGTTTGTTTCTTTGTTTTTTGAGACAGGGTCTTTTCTCTGTCATCCAGGCTAGAGTGCAGTGGCATGATCTCAGCTTGCTACATTGTCTGCCTCCCTGGCTCAAGTGATTCTCCCACCTCAGCCTGTCATCTAGCTGGGACCACAGGTGTGCTCCACCATGCCTGGCCAATTTTTGTATTTTTTTGTAGAGACAGAGTTTCGCTATGTTGACCAGGCTGGTCTCGAACCCCTGTGCTCAAGCGATCCACCGGCCTCTGCCTCCCAGAGTGCTGGGATTACAGTTTGTGAGCTGCTGTGCCCGGCCTCATATGGTTTTATTTTGAGACATGGATTATGTTTTGATGGTCAGAGGAGAGATAATGCATAGTATACTGAAAAGGCAGAAGTAGTAAAAGGTTTCAGAAAGGGAGGAAGAGTGAAGAATAATAAGTACCAAAGATGAGTTTTGCCTAAGGTCCTATTCTGTCAAGGACTCTGTTGGCAGTCTTCCATCACTGTTGTAATTAATGTGTTATGGTGATTACAGACTTCATACTGGGGGAAACGCTGCAAAAAATCTCTTTGAATGTTAGAGGGACATCTGTGTTTATATACGCAAATGCTTTTGCGAATTTTATGGTAACACATTTGTCTTTGTATTTACATGTTTTGTGTGTACATGCACTTGTGAACCTTTTATCTTAAATGTGATGTTAAATTGAATTAAAATTTATTCCAAGGCTATACACACAGAGCTAAATGCCTTTTTTTTTTTTTTTTTTTTTTTTTTGGAGACAGAATCTTGCTCTATTACCCAGGCTGGAGTGCAGTGGCGTGGTTTTGGCTCACTGTGGCTCCTTCTGGGTTCAAGCAGTGATCCTCCCACCTCAGCCTCCTGAGTATCTGGGACTACAGGTACATGTCACCACATCCAGCTAATTTTGTGCTAAACGCCTGTGGTGCAATCTCAGCTCACTGCAACCTCTTGACTTCTGGGTTCAAGTGATTCTCTTGCCTCAGCCTCCCAAGTAGGTGGGACTCCAGGAGCCTGCAACCACACCTGGCTAATTTTTGTATTTTTAGTAGAGACAGGGTTTTACTATGTTATCCAGGCTGAACTCCTGACCTTGTGATTTGCCTGCCTCAGCCTCCTAAACTGTTGGGGTTACAGGCATGAGCCACTGTGCCTAGCCAATAAATGCCTTTTACTATGTGTTTTTTTAATGAGAATGATTTTTTTTTTGAGACAGTGTCTTGCTCTGTCACCCAGGCTGGGGTGCAGTGGTGTGATCTCTGCACACTGCAACCTCTGCCTCTTGGGTTCTCCCCGCCTCAGCCTCCCAAGTAGCTGGGATTACAGGCACCTGCCACCACACTGGCTAATTTTTTTATTTTTAGTAGAGACAGGGTTTTGCTGTGTTGGACAGGCTGATCTTGAACTCCTGACCTCAGGTGATCTGTCCATCATAGCCTCCCAAAGTGCTGGGATTATAGGCGTGAGCCACTGTGCCCATCCGATAATGGATTTTTTAAAACTAATAATGTTATTTGATAGTTTTGTTGGAATCTAGAGTAGGTCAAGATTGGTTGAATGCTGTTTTCTTGGAGTTTTGATTTTCAAAATGAAATAATATTTAAATTTCATTATTATGACTAAAAAATCTCTTTCCTTCCATATTTGTGTGTCCATTTGCATGTGGCTTTGCATGTTCTACACAAAGATAGGCTTCCTTAAAAAATTCAAAATGTAATGTGGAAATTAAGGCGTGTTCAGTTATAGCGTATTGTGTATTGCCTTTAATTCACACTGTTTTTCCACTTAAGGGCACAACTCTCCATCATCTTCTACTTGCAAGAGCCATCTCAATTATAATTTAATAATTAATTTTGTAATTATTTAATGCCAGATTCTCTTTGTAGAATGGAAGGAGGTTGATTACTCCTGTAAAACAGAAATTGTCATGGTACCTCTTACATACTAGGTACATATGAAATCTTGTATGAATGAACCGGATTTTATTGCCTTTAAATTACTTTTTCTCATTGTGAAGATAAAGTAGAATAATACATTTTTATTTCCCATGTTTGTGAAGCTTTATACATGTTTATGATCGTGTCAACTGAGTTACGGAGTTGATGAGAAGTTTCTTGACTGCCCTATATGAGCAAAATAAATTGTCATCTGATAAAATATTTTTAAAGACTGTTTTTCAAAGAATTGCTAACTTAATTCTATTAATGCAAACACTTCTGTTCATAAATAGCTACTGTCATATAATCTGCTTCGAGGTTATGTGAGAGAAGGATAATGTTGTCATCCACAAACACATATTCTGTGGCTCTTTCCACGTCACAATTTCAAGTTGTCAATGAATTTTTATTTTTTTGTAATAATGTGCTTTATTTTATATTGTAGAAGTTTGTAGAGGTTGATTTCTACATTCTAGAATAAAGTGACTATATTTTTCTGCCTTTAAAACAGGTAGAGGCCGGGCAAGGTGGCCCACACCTGTAATCCCAGCACTTTGGGAGGCCAAGATGTGTGGATCACCTGAGGACTGGAGTTTGAGACCAGCCTGCCCAGCATGGCAAAACCCCGTCTCTACTAAAAATACAAAAAATTTTCCAGGCGTGGTGGTAGGCACCTGTAATCCCAGCTACTTGGGAGGCTGAGGCAAGAGAATCACTTGAACCCGGGAGGTGGAGGTTGCAGTGAGCTGAGATGGCGCCACTGCACTCCAGCCTGGGTGACAAGAAGGAAACTCCATTGAAAAAAAAAGAAAGGGGCGGTACAGTCGCTCATGCCTGTAATACCAGCACTTTGGGAGGCCGAGGTTGGTGGATCACAAGGTCAGGAGTTTGAGGCTAGCCTGACCAAAATGGTGAAACCCCATCTCTGCTAAACATAGAAAAGGAGCTGGGTGTGGTGGCATGTGCCTATAATCGCAGCTACTCAGGAGGCTAAGACAGGAGAATCGCTTGAACCTGGGAGACGGAGCTTGCAGTGTGCTGAGATCCAGCTGCTGTACTCCAGTGTAGGTGACAGAGCAAGAGTCTATCTCAAAAAAAAATTAGGCATGATAGCAGGTGCCTGTAATCCCAGCTACTGGGAGGCTGAGGCAGGTTGAATCGCTTGAACCTGGGAAGCAGAGGTTGCAGTGAGCCGAGATTGAGCCACTGCATTTCAGCCTGGGTGACAGAGCGAGACTCCCTCTCAAAAAAAAAAAAAAAAAACCCAAAAAACCTTGAGTAGAATGACAAATGAATGAAGTGCATTAACTGATTTCCTAACCCAAAAAAGAGAGAAGGGTTAGAGACGGCTTATAGTTTAATATTGTGCAGTCTTTTTATATTTTCAGGCCAGTGGACATCTTGAATATTTACAGATTATGTTTGTCACAGTAAAATAATTTCTTACATTTTTTTTCATCTCATTTATCTACATGTTCTGAAAAGGATGACGGTAGTTCATTTCTGAAATGTATTTCCAGGAAAGCCAAAAAAGTTTTCTGAAAAGTGGGTTAAAAAAAGCTGAATCATTGCCAAGAATGAAAAGATGCTGGGTTGTTATTCATATGATCAAAAGAATTTGTAGGCTTAGAGTGCAGTGCAAATATTCTTGTCTGTGTTTATTGCATAAAAATGATGTTGATGACACATATGAAAGTGTGAAAACATTAGTTCCAAAAGAATATGCATAATAGTACCTCATTTCTTTGAAATCAGTAACCAAAAAGTTGACAGTAAGTCTAAAAGATTGTCGGTAGTGCTTATCTCTGTATGTGGGACCTAAGAGACATTTTTATTTTCTTTTGGCTTAGTTTTAGATTCTTACTTTCTATAGTGAACACAAATTATTATTATAAAAACTATTAAAGATGTGTATTAACAAAAAGAAGAAAATAGAGACCTATTTGTTTGTATTGTAATTCCTTAAGATTCTAGGGTGTTGGTTTGAATTACTTATAACATTATTTCCTGTGAATAGTAGTATAATTTTACTTTATAATTATACCAGTTCTCTTGTTCTTTTATATTTGGGGCCAAACCAGATTTTGATATTTTTCTTTTGTGTGCCCCCTCCACCCAGCCACCCACCCATCCACCATCCATCCATCCATCCATCCATCATCTATTCATTCGTCATTCATCCGTTCATCCTTCCATTGATCCATTCATGTGACAAGAGTGGAATTAGAATATTTCATACCTTTCATGTTTACATATTCATTTATAGTTAGCTTTTTCTATGTCATTCTTCTAGAATGGTGGTTCTTAACCGTGGTTGAAGGTTAGGATCGTTTAGGGGAGCTTTTAAACTTGCTGATGCCCAGGCTGCTCCCTCAGACAATGAAGTCAGAGTTCCTGTGGATGGTTCAGGCATCAGCACTCCTTGAAACTCTCCGGGTGATTTCACTAGACTGAGAACCACTTGTCTATAGTATAATTTTCTTTTAAACGACATCTAGTATTCCATGGTGTACACTCACTGAGATGTTATTAAGTTCTTGTTGTCGGACATTTCAGTTATTTCCTTTTTTTTTTTGCAATTATAAACAATACACATTGCAAATATTCTTGTAACTAAATTTGTGTGCATGACTATATTTGTTAATAGCAAATTTTTAGAAATTCTATTGTTTAACTATTGATATACCCAAACCTTTATTAAATAACAATGAGCCTAAAGCTATAATAAAGCTTCAAATGTTACTCAGGACAGGGTTACTATCCATGAGGGATATGGTCTGGGGCAGGGTTTGTCAGCTCATCCCTACTGACTTTTGGGTCTAGATAATTCTTGTGGAGGCCGTTCTGTAAATTGTAGGAGGTTAAGTAGCATCTGTTAAGTAGCACTTCTGCGCACTAGATGCCATAGTACCCCCACCTCCTGTTGTGACAATCAAAAATGTCTCTAGACATTGCCTCCCCCCACCCCCCACTGGTGGTTTGTGGTCTGCAAACTATAGCCTGTGGGTCATATTTGGACACAAACTCACGTGTATTGTCTATGTGTATTATACAATGGCGGGGTCGAGTAGTTACAGCAGTGACCATATGGCTCACAGAGTAGAAAACATTTACTGTCTGGCTTTTATGTAAAATATTTGCTGACTGTACATGTAGTCTGTGTCCCCCATGAGAGACATCGTCTGGGTTAGGAAAGTAACTTGTAAACAGCTGAAATTCATTGGGATGCTGTCCTGATAGATTTAGGTATGTATAGGGTGTTGTAGCTATGAGGAGAGAGGGAATAGCTAGTTAATGCCCTGAGAAATTGGGAATATTTCTCAAAGGAGATGACAAAAATTAGATGTTGAAAGTCTGAGTAGACAAAATGGGGAAGTTTCCGCAAGCAGAGGGCATGGTATATACGAAGGCAATGCTGTCTGTATTCAGGGAATGGAGGAAAGTGTCATGTGCCTACTGCATATAATTGAAGTAGCACTGGCAGGAAACTTCAGGAATCATGCCTGCAGTGATAGATGGGGACCAAATTATAAACGAGGCCACATTCTATGCTAAGGAATTTAGACTTATCTGTGTGCAAATGGAAAGCCATTAATGTTTTTAGACGGGAGTGATTATCAATTTGTGGTTTGAAAGATTTTTCCGTATGGTATTCTTATTTTACATCCCTCATTCTCTGTTGAAACCTGCCCTGCCAACTCAAAATTGATTTTAGCGCTGCTTTGTCACTTAGCACATTCTTCTTGGTTATGAGCATCTAAAGTTTCTAATTCCTGGTGCCTACCTAGCATGTGGTAAATACTCAATGAACGCTTGTTGAATGAATGTAAATATTACTTATAGCATCTTCAGTTTTTTTCCACCTGCCCCCATTGTTGTGTTGGTAAATGTTTCACAACCAGCCACTGGGTAGTGTGGGAGGGAGAAAACCGTGATTGTAGTGTTTGCTAATTTCTGTGGTATAAAAACACCCACCACAGCCAATTTTAAAACTTCAGGCTACCAGCAAGCTGGTACAAATGAGATGTAGCACATCACTGCACGTACCTAGCAAGTACCTAATAAAATGAGAAAAACTGATACCTCGTGTTTTTAAGTCAAAATAGAAAGGTTTTTATTGTAAGTCTTAAATTCTGTAGTTATAAAGGATGATATTTTCATATATTCTAAGTATTGACATTTAAAAATAACATTCTCAAATCACTCTCCTAAGTCAGGAATGGAAGGGAATTTCCCTAACCCGATAAAGAGTATCTATATCTGAATTCTTTAAAAATTTTTAAAAATAGTTTTAATTCTTTTTAGATATGGGGGCTCAGTCTGTTGCCCAGGCTAGAGCTGGAGTGCAGTGGCATGGTCATAGCTCATTGCAGCCTCAGGGTCAGGGGCTCAAGGGATCCTTCCGCCTCAGCCTCTTGAGTAGCCTGATGAAGAGTATCTATAAAAGGCTGAAAGCAAGCATCATCTTAAATTGGAAAATGTTGAAAGCATCCCTTTAAAATGAAAAAAGTAGAAAAGTGTGCTGCTTAGAACCACTTGTATTAAAGATTGTATTGATGGTCTTAGCCAGTGAAGTAAAACAAGAAAAACAAATTAGAGGTATAAGGATTGGAAGGAGGAAATGAATTCTTCATAAATGACAGATGAGGTTGGGTGTGGTGGCTCAGGCTTATAATCCCAGCACTTTGGAAGGCTGAGCTGGGCGGATTGCTTAAGCTCAGGAGCTTGAGACCAGCTTCGGGGCAACACAGTGAAACCCTGTCTCTATGAAAAATATAAAAATGTGAGACTGTCTCAGAAAAAGAAAAAAAGTACAGATGATATTTTTATGTAGGTAGACAAACCCAGAATAATTTACAGATAAATTATTAGAAATAAGGAAGATGTTAACAGTGTAGCTGCATATTAAAACTAAGGTATGAGGCCAGGAGCCGTGGCTCACGCCTGTAATCCCAGCACATTGGGGGGACCGAGGCAGGTAGATCACTTAGGTCAGGAATTTGAGACTAGCCTGGCCAACATGGTGAAACCCTGTCACTACTAAAAATGCCAAAATTAGTCAAGCGTGGTGGTGGGCGCCTGTATTCTCAGCTACTCAAGAGGCTGAGGCAGGAGAATTGCTTGAACGCAGAAGGTGGAGATTGCAGTGAGCCGAGATCGCGCCATTGCACTCCAGCTTGAGTGACAGAGGGAGACTGTGTCTCAAAAATAATAATAATAATTAAACGTATGTACAGAAGTTAGTGGCATGCTTAAGTATCAGCAGTGAAAAACTAGAGACTCTGTTTTCAATCGTATCAGAAAAAACAAATAGAAATAAATCTAATGAAAGACATATAAGAATTCTAAGGGAAATTATATATTTTTAAAAAAGGATGTTAGGAGGACCTAGAAATATAGAAATATACCATACTTTTGTACAGAAAAACTTTGTATCAGAAAAATATCATTTCTCCCTAGTTGACGTATAGACCAATGAAATTCAAATCAAATCTCAATCAGGTTTACCAGGGAACTTATTAGATAATTTTACATTTTATATGGAAAGGATGGAAAGGTAAAGGGCCAAAAATAGCTAGGACATTTCTAAATACTATCCGAGAGGGAGGATTTTCTCTGTCAGATATCAGGACTTATTATGAAGTTATAGTCAAATTAACCAATGGGTTGTAGCACTTGTGTTATTCTGTGTGGGCTGCTATAACAAAATATCATAAGCTGGATAGCTTACAAAAAATATAAATTTATTTCTTACAGTTCTGGAGGCTGGGAAGTCTAAGATCAAGGTACTGGCAGATTTAATGTCTGTGGGGCCTACTTTCTGGTTCATTGATGGCACCTTCTAGCTTCTCCTCACATGATGGAAGGTCAAGATAGCTCTCTGGGGTATCTCTTGTAAGGGCACTAAGCTCATTAATGGAAGCTCTGCCCCCATGATTTCATCACCCCTCAAAGGCCCTGCTTCATGGTACCATCACCTTGGGGGTTGGGTGTAATACCAGAATTTTGGGGGAACTTAGACATTCAGACCATGGCATGGAGGGAATAACCAGTGGGACATAATATTGAAGTGAGAAGACTCCACCTATGTTGTCCCACTGCTCCATCCTGCCTCTTCTGGATACATTCCAGAGAGTGAGTGAGTCAGGATCTGGTTTTTTGTTTTGAAATAATTTCTGACTTAGGAAAGTGTTGCAAGAATAGCATAGACAATTCTCCTATTCTTTTACCCGAATTTCCCATGTTACCATTTTATGACACTCGTTTTCTCATCCTGTGTTAATATTATTGCCTTTTTTTTTTCTGAAGTATTAAGAGTTGAAGTATTTACCCTTAAATACTTCAGAGCATGTGTCCTAAAATCCAAGATGTTCTGTTACATAGCTACAGGGCATTGGTCATAGTCTTGAAATTAACTGATAAAATTTATAGACTGTATTCAGATTTCACCACTTCTAATCTGGGATCTTCTGTTGCATTTTGTCATACCGACTTGATTCTCCTCTAATCTGTAACACTTCCTCAGCCTGTGTTTGTCGTCTATGACTTTGGCATTTTAAAGAGTTCAGCTCAGTTACATATATCAGAGAATGTTGTCAGATATTTTTACTGATGCAATGTGTGGTGCAAAATGAGGAGAGAAACAAGAAAAAGCTATTGATTGCTTAGCAGAAGCCAAGCATTGACAGTAGTGAACCAACGTGTTTAGAGTGATTGCTCTGCGATTTTCATTTTCAAAACCAGTGCTAATACCAGTGATATAAGGATGGTGATGATTTAAATTTATAGAGACATAAATTTAGATATTCCGCTCTTTTTCCTGACTAGATATGGAGGAAATCGTTGAATGAGGGATTGATGTCCGCCATATCTCCTTCCTTGCATGGAAAGAGAAAGACTGCGAGAGAGGATAGCTAACAGAAAGTTATCTATCAAAAACAGCACCTTCCAAAAATCTTCTCCAGAAGAGAGGAAAGTAATTTCTCAGGAGCTGGAAACATGATTGGAAAACAAAAGCAGTAGATACTTAACACTTATTACACGCCCAAACTGCCCTAGGAAATGGGATGAGGGACAGAAAGAACTGGGGAACCTTGAATTGAGGAGTTAAGAGTTCCACCTTTATTTGTTTAAATCCATGTCTGCAGAGGGATTCATTCAAGATCACAGTTTTGACTTGAGGTTAAAACTTGGTCTTTGACCCACCTGAACTCTTCGATTTATTTACTTTGTGAGTACAAACATGTTCTTTAGTGATCATAGGGAGTTAGAGAGTGGTCCTGTTTCATCCTCTGTTTCCGAGTACTTTCTCACTGTCATGGCTTGGAGCACTGATTTCGAACGTAACACCCATGTGGAGCATACATTATGGGTGATATATATCTCCACGTTGTAGCACGTCATGTCTGAAGAGCTGAAAACTTCACCTTGAATTTTAAAACTATACATTTTTACAGAGGGCACTTGTTGGAGAGAAAGCAGAAGACTGAGTTTTAGATTCATTTACTTCTAACCTTGGTTGATTCACTGTGCTCAGTTGTCCAGCTGAAAAATGAGAAAATAACTTTTAACTCCCTGAAGGCCAAAGAACCTGCCTCTGATTTGCTCTGGGATCTAATATTTTATGATATGTTAAAAATGGCAAAATAATTCCTGGGAAGGAAAGAAAAATAGGATAGGAAAATTGGCAGTACAGTAAGAGGAACAAATTGCTGATGGAGAATCATTTTAATAAACATAACATTTAGCCACGTTCACCTGAATGTCATTTTTCTCTTTTAGTTAACTCTGTAGGTCTGAGAAGGGCTGCTATGTGATTAGTAGAACGTATAACAAAGGTGTTAAATATTAATTCAGTATCTGTTGCAACTTGGCTGTTAAAAATCATATGATAGGAGCACTGGTTATACTTGCTTTGAAATTACCTGTTCCATGGCACTGGATGTTGAGACCATTGACTTTATAGACTCTTAAGGGAATTTCTAGTGTGCATGTGAACTCAGACTTCTATTCATGGACTGGGATGTCAGAATGTATATGTGAGGAGGAGGACGAGGAATATATAGGATATTTTTGAGGCACCATATCTTTTATGCAAATCTGGGAGCTTAGAGTTAGCAAGATAGATTTTATTTTTATCTACATTTTATTTTCTGTTTCAAATATAAGGTTTTTGGGAAATTGGAAAAAAGTATTAAGGCTTTTGACAGTGCAGGCTATTTTGGTTGACTACTTAGCTTGCACATAGCATCTGTGATGCACTGTGTGAGAATTTATAGCAGAGCACTTTATTTTTCCTGTCATGGCTTTTGTGAGGAAAGGTTTTCACTTAGTGATTTACAGAAGATTACCCACATTTTGTTTTCTTTTGTTTTGTTTTGTTTTGTTATAACTAGTTAAGGCTGTGCAAAGTAATACATTTTGGACTTTGATGATGGGGCTTTCACATGTGCTGAAATCACTTTGAATCCATCATTTCTAGAAGATACAGCCTATCCTTTCGTTATTTCTTATTAACTGCTTCAGAGCCTTCATGGATAGCTAGGCAAAGCTTTCATTTATCTGAAGTTCAACTGTGTTCGTGCTCTTGCTTTCGGAAAGCAGAAATGAGCTTCTGGTGATGAAACCTGTTGGATTTCTAGAGGAAGCAGCTGGAGTCTTTGGCTTGTTAAGTAGCAATGATTCAAGTCTTGCAGATTGTAAAGGAGCTGGTGACACCATCAAGGCAAAAAGCAGCCACAGTGAAGGAAGGTAGGATCATTAGCAGAATGAACAATCAAACACTTTAAAGGCATTCAGATTTTGCTAAGTATCGACCTAAGGATGTGCTATAAAAAGGGGTTTTGAGTTTCCTTATATGCTTTTGCATTTCTGATACATTGTGATATCTGAAAAGGATCAGGTAATGGCATGATTGTTAACATGCCTCATTGTTACTGCTTTTGAACAAAAATTAGGCGTATATTATTAAGAGGTAGAGAGAGTAAGGGGAGGTTATTGCATTGCTGCTTTCGTAGTACTTTTCACATTGTAAAGATCCTCTTGCATTATGTATTTTGGAGGTAGAAGAATAATTTTTATAATTCTCATTTCTTTTAATTTTAAAATATAAATATTCATAGCAGATGACAGAAGAGAACAAGCTAGGATTCTGCCTATGGCACAACATAAGAACTAGATGATTTTTATTTTTATGAATAGCTGATAAAATAATAGCTATAAACATGAATTTAGCCAATGAATAGTAGATTTTACTGCCTTTTTAGTGAATAATTGCTTCTGTTTATGATTATATGCTTAATGCTGTTTGTATTAAGAACAGTCCTGTATTTATAGCTTGTCTCTAGACTGTGCTGAAATACATATTTGAAAACATTTTAAAATTGCGTGTCTTATTTATAGATCTTAAATGGCTAATATAGATACATCTTTGAAGATATACTTTTATATTTTCCTTTTTAAGCATTTAAAATAGTAAATTTCTAAAATGATAATTAGGAATTGATTTTCAAAAAACACAGGCCATCAACTCAGTTGATTATATTGGCAATTTCACTAATCTATGGTTTAAAATCAGTTGATAAATTTGTGTATCAGCCTTTTCATGTGTAAGATGTATTAAGCATTCTATCTTTTTATGATCTGGAGTGTGCATGTAACGCAGATGACATAAAATGTAGATTAGTTTAGATTTTTTCTTTAATGTGATACAATCTGTGTTTTAAAGTAAAGCTTATGAGAGTCCATAAGTCTCATGTAAAACGATTTAGCATGATAGTATGAATTGTGATACACAAAATAGTCAACCAAATAAAGAGCTGAAAGAAATCTTAGACATCTTCTTGTCTTTTTTTTTTTTTTCCATTTTATGGAAGAATGTACTATTTAAGTGACTGAACAGACATGCATCTCAGAAAGCAGGGAGTCTTGTCATTTACCTTTGACAATGTGGCAGTATTATTTAGGATACTTTACAGTCATTTACCTCCTGCTTTCTACTTTATTTCTGCTCCCCTTCTGAAATAGAAAACTACATTCCCATCTCAGAATAGCAGGATTCTAACAATTAGGTATTTAAAGAAAATACTGCTTTTACTATTTCAGGAGAACATAAATTAGCTAATTTAATCCCAATCTGTTTGGAAATGTCAGATTTATGTAGTTTGACCTTTACAGTCAGAATTTTTATTGGAATTTTTAAAAAGTTTTTGTTTTCATTCACAATAATAGTTACTTGGAATATACCCAGGGAAAATAATAATAATTTTTGTGTCTTTCATAATGCAGATATATAGATATATCTCATACATTACAGGAAATATCATGTGAATATATAAAAAATACTGCCAAAAGATACTATATATTAAAGTAGTAGAATGGCTTTTGTTCTCAAACTTTTGTTTAAAAATTTTCAGACAGGATTTCTTTGTGAAAACCAGGAAGTATATGCATAGATTATTTTCTTAGAAGCTTGCTTTTTAAAACTACTTCTGATAGTGTTTTCAATCATTAATCTGTTTACTATTAATTTTATCCTTTTATGGAATATTGTTAGTTTACCTTTTTTTTTTTATTGGCAGACTCCTTGAAAAAAGCAATGTCATGCAGATGAATATAAAACCCTGACCCTTAGGAGAGTTTTTTTTTTTTTTTAATTGAGTTCTTTAAAATATGATACGAATTTGGATGGATATAGAGGGAATGCAGCATTTCTAAGTATTGTGTTCACATTAATATTATAAATAGTATGAAAAGTTTATTTGTGAAGAGAAAATATCCTAGAAGTATCAAAGTTGGGGGAAAAATAATTATGATAAATAGTTTGAGAGAAGTTTTTATCAAGTAGTTTTTCTTGGTATGAGATAGAAACAAACTTATGCTAAGTGAAGACTCAAGGGTATGGTTAAGAATTATTTTGGAGGCCGGGCATGGTGGCTCACGCCTGTATTTCTAGCACTTTGGGAGGCTGAGGTGGGCGGATCACTTGAGGTTGGGAGTTTGAGACCAGCCTGACCAACATGGTGAAACTCTGTCTCTACTAAAAAAAACAAAATTAGCAGATCATGGTGGTGCATGCTTGTAATCCCAGCTACTTGGGAGGTTGAGGCAGGAGAATTGCTTGAACCCGGGAGTTGGAGGTTATGGGAAGTCTAGAGCACGCCTTTGCATTCCAGCCTGGGCAACAAGAATGAAACTCTGTCTCAGGGGGAAAAAAAAATGAATTATTTTGGGGAGGCAGGGAAATTATAAACTGAATGAAAGAATAGATGAATGGTGTAACAGGCATTTGTTAAGACAGTCTTGTCTAAGAAGTGTTTGTGCAGTTAGGCAACATAGTCTAGTGGGTTAGTGTGTTTTGATATTAGGCTGTCCTGGGCAGAGTAGAGATAATATAGCCTGGTGGACCAGGGGAAAGGATGGGATGAGTGATAACTGTGCAGATTGAAAAAACAAACGTTCACAGTTTTCCCTTCAGATGTCTTCATTAGCCTGCATCTCTAAGGCCAAGCTCCATTAGATTGGCAAGGTGAGACACCATTAAGCCTACTGAAGAGTAAAGCCACCCCATCTTTGCAGATGTGTGTAAGGCGTAAATGTAAACATAGGAGCTGTGTGTTTCTGAAGATCCTGGTTTTCTCCTTTAGAAGCCTCATGTTTATTTGAATTAAAAAAAACTTGAAAAACAGTGCATGTTTCTCTCATTAAACAGAAGTATGCTAAATATGATTGAATGTTTTCTTCATAATTCAGATTCTTCATTTTGCATTTTTTGTAGGTTAGAGAACCTGATGACCAAGGTTATTAAAACTAATTCTAAAATAAGAGTAGATTTTGAGTGAGGGCCTTGAAGGTCTCTCTTGTTAGTAAGACATACTAGCTTTGGTGTCTATCCTGACCTTTTCATTCCCACATTCATTCCTTCATACTTTTCTTCTAGATTATGACAGTAGCCTCCTCATTCATTTTATTCAGTAAACATATATTGAATACTTACCGCATGTTAGATGCCAGGGTGCAGAGATATATCCTGAAGGAGCTCAGATGCAAGTGGTCAGAGACAAAAGTCAGTGATTACAGTGGTTTGATAGGCATTGTAATAGACAAGGTCATGGAACCCTAAGCTGGGAGGTACTTAACTGACCCTCTTCACTTGCCATCATTTGGTGATGAGAGGACTGAAGAAATTAAATTATTTGATGAGGTGGCCGATTGCTCTCAATTGAGCCAAGTCTGAAAGCATGCATAAAGGCTAGCTAGTTTAGGGAAAATGAGAGTTTGTGTGAGCATCCCACAGGAAGAGTCATGAAGGTAAGAGAGGGCATAATGTGTTGGGAAAACTGCAAGTTGTTAAGTATGGCAAGAAAATAGGTGGAGGAGGGGCGCTCAGGTGCCCAAACATGAAGAATCCACGTAAAGACTGGAAATTCTCTTAGGGTGATATTGGAAGGATGTGAGCAGAAGCCTGAGCATTTAACTCTGTGTGCCACCCTTCCATTGCTGTCTGAAATAGCTTTCTGAAACAATTTGCCATAAAACCTAAAATTCAGGCTTAACCTATGCAGTATTTCTGGCTGTATCGATAAATCTCTCCACGTACCCTCTTTGCCAGCTACATCAGAATATTTGCTCCTTCCCAAATGTGCTTCTCCATCTGGCTGGCGAGTCCTTCCCTTCTCCAGCAGTCACAATCCTTATCAGATCAGTCTTTAGGTTCCACTGCCACACCTGCCAAAAGCATGTTTCCTGACTCCTTATCCCCTCACCTTTCCAGGTTAGATTGAATCATTTCTTTCTTAATATTCTCTTAGCATTTTTGCTTTTGCTTCTGTTACTACACCTTAAAAATTCTATACATGATGATTATATTTATTAAATTGACCAGTGAATGTTAATTGCAATACATTTGTTTATTTGACTTACTGAACATTTCTACTTCCATTCTGTTTTTTTAAGCGGTATTTTAGATGGTTAAGACATATGGTCTTAGATAAGTGAAATATTATAGCTAATAACTTAAGCAGTGGACAGAGAAATATATAAACGAACTCTTTCAGAACTGTGCAGATATTTCAGATATCTCAGATATTTTGTAGATGGATAATCGTTTCAGGTTATCTTTAAAATGTACTCATTTTGCTCTGTATGTTGACAATTTAAGCTTGCAAGACTAAAGTGCTAGCATCTAATCTATTTTATTTAGTTGTAGGTTTGTAGTTCTTTATGATTTACAAAGGATTCATACCTTTGATCAAAAAAGAAGATACCACGTGAAGACTTATTTATTGAGAACTTGAGAAATGGCTGCTTGTGGCAGTGTTCGTTGTCTACCCAATCTCCATTCTCTCGTTTGGAGTGTTAGTGTCCTCAGTTCCAAAGCAAACCAACAAATGAACTCTTTCTTAAGATACAAACAAAAGCCTGCTGAGGATTTCTGTAAAGGTTTTACCTTCTGAGACAGTTGTCATGTCTGCCTTTTTGTTACATCCTTCTTTCTACCTCGAATGTGAGTGCAGTTCCTGGAGTTATAGCAGCCATACTGTGATGGTAAGGACAAAAGCAATATGGTGGAGGAGAAATAGAGAAGACTAGTCTTTTGTGACACCAGAGACACTAAGGAACATTTGTACCAACCCCTAGTTACCTCTAGACTTTTTTGGCTTATTACTGGCAGTCAAAGTGATCCTCACTAGTATAGTATCTAATGTGATAATAAGAGTAGGAGTAAAGGCATGCCATTTGAATATGTAACT